AAACTTATCGAAGTACAGTAATTCAATTGTTTTCTTACTCCCAAAGAGATTTAACTTATTCAAAGTGTTCCTTTCTCAAAGGAACAATCTCAGTAAATTTATTGATAATCATTTTACTCTCTACGAACTGGGTAAATATTATTATTCAATTTTTATTCACCCAGAAAAACTTATGATGAAAAATATGGATAATATTTGAAATATTTTAGTATTGTTTCTGAATGACAGTCGTACAGGTAGACTTTGGAAACAAATTATTATATGACTCGTATTTATTGTGTGTGTTTCAAAACAAGATGTAACGTTGTGAAATTACGATCATAATTATATTATTCTTATATGTTGTAAGCTACTGTAAAGTTACTCCGCAGTATTGTTTTCATTTCAGTCATAGAAAATTATTTTCTCGACTGTCGATATAAATATAAATGAAATACATCTTAAGTCATGCTATACATAAATATTTTAAGAATACAATTTACACTGGGGCTAAGACTTGTCAATTTAACAGTAAGATTTTGATAAACGCTGAAAGAAAGTTACATGTTAGTTGATACCGATTTGATTTCTTGCTGTTAAGCACAAACCTGCAAAATGACGTATCTGTGCTGTACACACAACAGGGATTAAATTACGAATGTATAAGACTTCAAGTTCTCCACGTGAGCCACCGAGAGGCTATAATGTTGGTACTCATTTTCAAAAAGTGTATCTATCCAATTTTTATTTGATTTAATCTTTTTAGGGAATTGGTTTTTAAGGTTTTAATATGCATTGCATATTTCAAGTAACTGAGGGTTACAATAAAACGCTCATAAACACATGTTATTGGTCAATATGTTCAGAGTAAGTGCCTGTAAAACATCTTATTTTAAATAGGTAGTGAGGAGCTACGAGTAATTACACTGAGCGCGTGGTAGCTGGGGAAAAATTCTAAAAGTTTATCCAAGCATGAAAAATAAATATTTTTTTAGAATGTTCACGTTTTTACTTGTTTCGTATTATACCTGCTGCAGTAACAATTCTTTAGGTTTAAATCTATATAGCATGATCTGAAATTTCAATTATTCCTTTAAAAATAACGCCTTCATAAGTTTGAAAAAAGAACCAAAATCATTCTTATCATAAATAGACTCTTGTAAGAACCTTTCTTCCTTTCCAATCATCCTTATCTCGACTGAACATTTTCATCTTCATCGCCCAAAATAAATTACTTCAGATACTCACAAAACTATTTACACTGTGCTTTTACTTTTTTATGTTAAAAAAGGTTGTCAGTAGTTAAGTATGTTTGACTCTTTTTTTTTATCCTAAAATGACAAGACAGTGAAACAGTAAGAAAGTTATTATACAGTTGTTGGTAAAATAAGTGAAATCAGGTGATCTCATCACATACTTGCTTCAGAAACGTAAATGGTTTTGACATGAAGCATCGCCGTCTACAAAGAATCGATTGCACGTTGTTTCATTAGTCTTGCTCTAGTGCTATACCAATTGTGCATTGGAGTGTGCTACCTTTGATTACTCAGATTGGAACAATATCTTAGGGCACTTAAAATAAAACAAAGCAAAAACAAACAGAAAGCTGGTTGGTTTGGTGTGACGTCAATAAAGTTACGAACACTTATAACTCTGTGATAATTTTTTCGAAGTCATTCTCTGTTTCCTTTACTTGTAAACAGGTCAAATGTCATTTCAAAACGAGTTAATTTAGCAATAATCTAACCTATTTCATGGACATCTGTGAAAGAAAGAAAGAATTTCTATAAATGGCCTGGAATTCGTTATATTCTACAAAAAAAAAAGACCAATGAGATAAAATAACATTAAAAATTTTCGATATTATTTTTTCTGTTTACATTAATTAGAGGCCAATGAGACCAGGAATATAATTTTTCTCTGAATTAAGCGGTTTAAGTAGATTGTAGTCTATATTTTCTGTACTTAACAGTGATAGATCTCGTGTCTGTATATACATAACATCTTTAGAATGCTATTTTCTAGTTCCGTTATCACTGCCTTTGTTCTAGCAGCTAGATGAAAACAAATGAAGAGATGTGTGTTGAGAAACACACACAAAATCCTCCATTAATATTGTTTCACCATTATCGTGTGAAAATTAGTTTTGGTACGGTTCATCAAAGAACATCTTTTTAAAGCAGCATATGTGAACAAGCATTCAATAAAACTGACCGTATTTTTAAAATAGTTTTTTTTATTATTATTAGAAACACCACGACTGCTAATAACGTTTAATCATTTCGCATTTGTTTTATAAACTGAGGAATCAACGAAGAAGGTCATGACCCTTGCTCCCATTCTCTTTCTTTATTACATTTTCTACTAAGCTTCACTGTCGTACATTATGCAACGTTAACAGAATTTTTTACGATGAATTTCGCATAGTTTTGTGTACTTAAGAAAGTGAAAAAGTTACCGGTGGCTCAGCAGTAAACTTAAGTACTTATAACACTGAAATTCGGGGTTTGATCCTTGCGTTGAGCATAGCGCCGGTAGCCCATTGTACAGACAGCTTTGCGCTTAAAAAAACAAAGTGAAAAATTCTTATAAAAGTACCGTTAAATTAGAATTCACACATTGATGATTGAACAAAGGTACTGTTAATGAAAGACACACAAGTACAGCGCAGCACCTTCTGTACGTTTGTTTCTGTAATGTCATATACCTTCCTGGTCTAAATAACCAAATCTCGTAATGTCACGAATGTTTGTACAATTTTTCCTGCACACAAAGTTAATATATGCTGATTGGCCTAGAACGTTTTGATGCTTGATTTTGAGTTTAAATGGAAACTATGTTCCAAAACTCTGTTAATGAATAATCAAGCACTTCACTTGCATCACTTAAAGATTTGGTTCAATTACCCTTTCTCATTATTTCTAATTGAAAACTGTGTATAATTCTCTCCCGTTTTATTTTTCATTTAGAAAATTCAGCGTTTCTTGATAATTTTCACTTATGGATATAATCCGCTGCCTCGAGTAATAAGACGTTTTCAATTTTTGAGGTGAACGCATTTCTGTATGATCGATTTGTTTATTGCTTGTATACATAACTTTTAATGAAAAATAAAATTAACTAATTCAAAATTCCTTTACAAGCCTCTTTGGCGAAAGATATAGAATATTTCTATTCTTCAAAACATCTACAAAGAACTGATTAGTTTTTCGCCTATGAAAAATCTCCTGTTAAGTTTGTTTGTTCGTTTAAGCGTAAAGATACGTAATGTGTTATAAGCGCTATAAGCTTCAGATTTACTGCTGAGCCACTGAAGAAAGTACAAGAAATTAGCATTGTTAATAATAGAAGCGTTGGAGAAAGAAACCTCAAACTTTTTAAATGTGACATTAAACAACTCGTGGTATGTTCTTACAATCAACTAGAGATCTTGCCAATTACCTAACTATAAGTACAGGTGTGAATGTTATTTCCAATGGACAGATAGTGCTTGAAAACCATTTCTTAGGAGAGAGAGAATCAAAAGATTCAAATGGGCATTCGACTTCAAACAAAGATACGAGAAAAGCTGGAGGGGATATTATTTATAGATCTAATATCATGATTTTGCAACAAACAACGATAGTTTGTTCGATGGCAAAGAGGACAATGGTATCTTGATCCACGAACAACATCTACAGTGAAACATGCTGGGGGACCAATACAAATGTGGGTAGCATCTCTGCCATTGGTGTTTGAGATCTACACCCTGGCTGCTGTCAGGTACAAGTAGATTCTTATCCAATACGTCATTCCCTCAGGAACAAGACTTGTTGGGGCAGGGATTCATCTTCCATCCTACGCATGCGATAGATGTGGTGAAATGATAGCTGAAAAGAAAAGGAAACCGATGGATGG